ACATGTTGATTTATTTGTATGTACATTTATGGCATGTCAACTACAGTTTTGGTTATAAATTATTTGTACACACAGATAGCTCAACAAAGTCTTCACTGAGTCAGTTACTGGTCTTACTTGTCTACTTTCTTCCTTGATTTTCAGGTATCTATTTTTTTTTTAATTATTTCTATTATTGTTGTTAACAGCACTTGAATAATCATGATGTCACTCCAGAATATTCCTTAAATTTGCTCCTTCCTTCTCGTCCCCTCACACTTCCCTCCTCATCTCCTTTGCTCCCTTTATCCACTTCTCTCTCTCTCCCATCTGCCTTTTTTTTTTCCTCTGAGTCCCCTCTCTCTTCCTTTTCCCTTTCTCCTTCCTCTTCCCCTTTTTCTCCAAATTTATTCTAATGCTATTGATATCTATACTGTTACAATTATCATTCACATTGTTTATTATAATGTCATCAAGAACACTAATAGAAATAAAAAATATTTCTAAAAACCAAGGAAATGGATTAACAGGCGAGATAGGTACGACTAGTAATTGGCGACTAAGTTCTAGAAAACCCACATTGGACATGGCATATATGTAACCTCATCCCTGTCGGCAATGGGTTAATTGTATTAAAAGAAGAAAAAAAAATACTACCATTATAACTATTATAAGGAATAAGAAAATCAGATGGGGTTAGCTAGGCTGAACAACCGACTCACTGATGACTAAGAGCATGAAAACAGAATTCACAAACATCACCACACCAGACAGCACATGTACTTGGCGTCAATGGATTACTGTTAGTTATACAATTAACCTCCATCTATTTAGTCCATTCATGCATGTGTATTTCTTTTGGTAATGTTTATTACCTAACACATCATTACATAAGCAGACACAGACCTAATTAAGCAAACATGTATAAACACATACACACATAAAACCCTCCCAAAATTTGTTCCATTAACAGTTGCATCTCATCAGCTTAAAACTTATGATACTTAACCCATAACTGGCGGGCAAAGAGTAGTAATCAAACTCTGAGGCAGGAATAATTCCACAAATCCAAGCCTCTGCACCAACCTTATAGTCTGTGTATGTGCATGTGTGGGTGTGTGTGTACATGTCTGTCTGTATGTCTCTAACTTTTGTCTGTCTCTACCTCTTTCTCTTAACACCAAAATTTATTGTTTTGTCATGTTCTATCTCTTTCTCTGTTATCCTTTAATCACTGAATATCACAAAAACTGCAAAAGATCATACCCAATGCAGTTGAGAGAAACATCATGAAAAATCAGTAAGTGTTTTTATGGCTAGATTCTTACATTATAGTAATAACAATAACAAACAAACACATACATACAGAGGTCTACAAACACATACACATCTTTGCGCATGCAGCCAATCAAATACATGTATGCATGCATATAGATATTTGTCTAGTGTATTTGACAGATTAAAGGATTTCTAACTTTTACCCTGTCATTTCACTGTTGCCTAGTAAAAAATAATAATAATTGAGAGAGATTAAAATGCAACAAATTTCAATTGTGGAATCTTACAATGTTGCCATACTTTCACAAAAAACTTACAATTGCTTTTTCATTGTGGTTTCATATATTACTCATATGAATAGTGCTGTAAAAACTGTTCATAAATAAACAGACTTTCTTTGAGGAAACCAATGAAACATGTAGGCTGTGGCAATGAAATTATCAGTACCATAACCTTTCATGACCTTCTCACCCCTCAGTAAAGTCTAGCCTGCTCCTAATTACCAGTTAATGTTCAAGTATTTTCATTTATCACTGATGGTCATTTCTTTAGCATGTTTAGAGGAAAAATCAGTATTATAATATTGTAGCTACTAATTGAATATTCAAAGGAGATTGTCATCAACTACAATACTATAACATTGCAATTACTGACTACACATTCAACGGAAATTGCCTTCAGTGATGAATAAATCTTCCTAACCAGGAGCATGCTGGACTTCACAAGGAGTGGAAAAGGTTTTAAAAGATCTTGGCGCTCACAATTTCATTGCATCGAAAAGGATTGCACACTATTAATTTATGAACAAACTTTACTATTCATATTAGTAATACATAAAACCATAATAATAAAGTAACTGTATCTGTACTCATATATGTGAAATAAAAGTTGTGGCAGTACATACATGTGCGTGCGTGCATATCAAGCTTTTCTACAATAACTTTATAATACTATTAGAAGTCGTAACAATAGAAATAATAAGAGTAAGAAAAATAGTAATAGTATTTTATTTATTAAAATTTTTTTGCCGCATCAACATTTAAAGTGGCATATACAAAACAGAGTGATAGGATGGGGCTTGGGGGGCAAATACCCAAGGTTAATTTTTTTTTTGTTCAATAAGGCAATGTTTGTGGACTTCCAGAATGGTCATTGGTCAAAACAAACAAACGTACCAGGCATCAAAGGTTATGCAGAATTAAGGTGAAGAATTGTGGCGAAAAGGGTAAATCTGAGTTAACGATCTGGATAAATGGACAGAAGAAGGGGATGAAGAAGTGAAGGAAAAGGAAAGTGGGAGAAGAAAAGACCCTGCAAAATTAGCCGAGACAAGGACTGAGATCCAAGGCAGGGATGATCCCTAAATTGGGCCCCAGTCTCTGCCTCCTAAGCCCCCCATAGCAACAACGAGCAAGGGATTGGGGGGGGGTAGTAATAGTAGCCATTGTAAGACCATCATATTCACCATCAATCTAATCACCATCATTCTCATTATTCCTACCTTTAAACAATCTAAACCATTACTTTATGGTTACTACTGATGTAAAAGCAGATTTAGAATTAAAATTTTGTCATTATTGGAGGTTTTTGCTATCACACATCCCAGCATCAGGTTAGGAGATAAGAAATGGTATGGCCAATCCCACTCTTTATCCAAGTTCCTTGTTGTTCACACTTAAGTATCTTCAAAAACTATCTTCAGGAATAATGCTGCGCTGCCTTCAGACATAAACTAAAACAAACATAAAGACCAAAACAAAGAATCTGAGGAGAGGGAAAGTTATGTGGCAAATTACTCTAGGTGTTTGTGTCTGCATTTCCAATTACTTGTGTAAATTTTATAGTACTCAAACGAAATAAATTAATAATTACTAAACTTTTAATCACAAATTACCAATTACTTAACCTAAGAAATACCAAAAAGCAAATCTCCTAAACATCGCTGAATGCACAAGATCTTATTCAAATTCCTAAATCCAACTACACTGGATGGTATCTATACATGCCACAGCAACAGTGGACCCATATTCCAGATGGCATCTCTGCACGACATAACAATGGAAGGTGCTCTCTGTTCTGCACATGATGTAAGTGTGGAATTTCTGGATGCCTACGGTGCTATTTCTCAAGCTACAGATTTCTTAAGTTGGCCTAAAGCCTCATCTTTCAATGCTTTTATTGAGACATAGTAATTGGCTTATCCAAGATTAAAGACGAGAGGGACAAATATCACCCACACACCTCTTAACTTTTATATCATGTTGGCAGCCTTGATATTAGCCAGGCACAATGGCCAGTTCACTCCCATCATTTAATAACAACCTTAATATGAAAAGTTAATAAAATAGTCTACAACAAAATTTTAGACCCCAAAGTCTATGGGATTATAAATTGGATATATACCTTTAAAATATCAAGTACAAAATACAAAGCACTTCTGCTGTTCATGCAGGATAGAATACTAAAAAGTAGTAGTAGCTGTAGCAGTAATAGTAGTAATTGTGGTAATAGTAGTAAAAGCAGTAACAGTCATAACAGTAGCAGTAAAAGAAGAAAATAACAATAACAAAGCCAATAATAATAATGATAATGGTGATGATGACTGGCTCCCCCTCCCATCCAATCTTCCCTCTATATCCCCTTTCAAACTAACGGAATCCTCTACAATCATCATCCCACCCCCTATGCTCTCCTCTCCCTTCATACACTTGCCTCCCATAGCAGTTGAGCTACACACTAACATTGTGCTTTTCAACATATACAGTTATTACTGAGCAAAATAAGCATGTATCTGAGGCCTCTAGTATGGATGGGCTCCCCATTTATTTGTCTCCCCTCCCCTCCCCAAAGCCAGATTTAGAATCATAGGGTTTACTATGATTAAATCTTAGAGTAAGTTTTGTTTACAACTATCTATGTCATGATGACAATAAATACCACATTTTCAGCATACAGGATAAACACATTGAGGAAATTCCATGATAAGCCTAATCAAATCATTGACTTAGTCATTTTCTAATCATTATGTTTGTTTAATCAGCATTTTAAGATATTGATTAACATAATTCTCAATTCCTCTGTTTTACAAGCACATGTGATAATGCTATTACTTACTAATGTTTACCAAGTTTTAATATACATTATAAAAAAGGGGGAAAAAATGTTCACTCAGGCATATAGTTGGTTCCTTTTTTTTCTTTGCCTAGCCATTAAATCGTAAATAAAAAATTATAGCTTCTAATTACAAGAAAAATATCAAAGAATATTCTTTTTTTTCTAATTAATCCCTTCCCTTTCTTGCAATTAATATCACATTATCATATACAGCTACCTACCAAAATGATAATAGTGCTTTTAAATAAAGTTGAGTACATGCCCTAAACTGCTTCTAAAAATAAAATCTAAAAAATAAATGTCATGCATCACAGAATGCTGATTTGGGCAATCCCATACATCAGTAGCATCTTGCACCTAATCTCCTGTGGTCATCAAGTGTCAGACTTTTATAGCAGCTTAATCTTCTATTTAATCTTCTTAACCCATTCGCGCCGGGTAAAAATGAACAAAAAATGGGGGAAATGCTGTGCTCATTTTTTATATTCTTTAATAAAATTTCTCTACACTAGATGGTTCTGCTTTACCGGATTTCATTTAGTGGGAAAATGTATTTTTACTAGTGCTATGAATATTGATGGTTATTTTTATTATAAACATTATAATTATTATAATGTTATAAACATTAGTAACAGCAAAATAAGAAAACGCAAAATAATTTCGTAAATTAAAATAAAGGGTAAACAGACGAGACAGGCAGTACAAGTGCAAGTGGAGCCATCTATGTTTGTAACCAATCAAACAAGTAAATTTACAGTGGGCCCGTCATGTATACGTGACACCCGGCGCGAATGGGTTAATAAAATATTAACATAAAGTGCATCATATAAAGCAAAACCATTAGTATTTATCCAATATAGGAACACAACATAATTCCCTGTAAATCCTATATAGTACAGTGTAAAAGTGAATCAACTTTTGGTAAATTTACCCTTCTACCTCTGGCCACCTACCTACAGAATCAGTGGAAAATCTAGTGAATAAGTATCTGTTTAATAGAATAAAAAACAAAAGAAATTTGGAGCTCACTTGATTATCAAAAGAGTATGGCATCTTTTTCCGGTACCATTCAATGCCATTGGCGTAGCGCTCGTCATCGTCGAAGAAGTGCATCTCGGCTCCATTCTTTTGGATGTATGGGTGCAAATTGAGCATCTCCAGTAGGGCCCGTGTTCCGCATTTCCGCACTCCAATGATCAGGGCTTGGGGCAGCCTCCGCTGGGTTCCTCGAAAACGAAGGCGTTTGCGGTAAACTTCTGTTGTGGCGGAATCAAGTCCAGTGGTCTCAGATGCTGCTGATGGTGCTGGAATTATTTCACTGTCAAACACTAACAGAGGAATTGTGACTATGGAGCATTCAGAAAAAAAAAAGAAAAAAAAAAAGTGGACTTTCTCCTTTACACTAACATTACCGATTGTGGGCCGTCACATTCCTGCTGTAATGTGTCTTAGGGAAGTTAACAAACAGGAGAGCTTGAAAGTGGCCTCATCTCACTTGTTCAGGAAAAGAGGACGCTCATATGCTCCACTCACAAGAGCATAACTTACCATACAGAGTTGTCGCTCCCAGAGGTGAAGTGTAGTAGAGGAACAGACAGACGAGGAGTGAAGCCAAAATGATGATGGGGGCCACCCGCCGCAGCATGCTCAGGGGAGAAGAGCAACCCCAGCGGCCCCCCATGAGTGGCCCCCTGGAGGCCTCAGGTCCTGGGTCCTCGCTCCAGACAAGTTGATAGTTTTCACTTCCAACTGACATAATATCTTCTTGCTAACTGCAGAGGACAAGAGAAAAAAATAGGTTAAGAAACTGTAGCAACTAACAAAATTTCTTCTTGCTAAATGCCAGAGGCTAGGAAATATAGTTCAAATATTTGTGAAGGCCTGATACCTCGTTTGGAAAAGGCACAATCCTGTATGAACAATAATTATTTCCACAAAAAGGTTAAGACCTACAGATTCATTGAATGATACTAAAAATTGCAAGGTTTACCAATACACAGTAAATTTATTTTTTTAATAATGATTAAAAAAAAAAAAAAAAAAAAGGAAGGAAAAAAATAGTCTCATCTTATACATATGAGGTGTAGTTCTTTTAGATGCATTGTTTAAATTTTGATTTTATAAAAAATAAATAAAATCGTCAAAAATACACCTTTGAAGTGAAGGGGGCAGCCACTTCAACTTTAAGTCAAAAGTTGAGCAATTCAACCCACTGGGTCCAGGTGACATGACCATCATCATGTCATGGAAAAAAAAAAAAAAAAAAAAAAAAAAAAAAAAAAATGGCTGAAGACCAGGTGACAGGAATATGCTGTCATGGAAAATTCTGGCTGAAGGCTGGGGTGACAGGAACATGCCTCCAAGAATAAATTGACTAAAGCCTGGAGTGATGGGCATGAATCGCTATGAGAGCATAAAGCTCTCTGAGGAAAATTAGACTCACTAGGTATTTAACCTACTTGCGCCGGGTGTCACGTATACGTGACATGCCCACAGTGAGTTTACTTGTTTGATTGTTTTTACACATAGATGGCTACACTTGTACTTGTACTGCCTATTTCACCCGTTTACCCTTTTCTTTAATTTATGAAAATATTTTACGTTATCTTATTCTGCTGTTACTAATGTTTATAACATAGTAATTATAATGTTTATAACAAAAATAACCATCGATATTCATAGCACTAGTAAAAAATACATTTTACCACCAAATTAAATCAGGTAAGGCAGAGCCATCTATGTGCAGAGACACTTCACAAAAAGTATAAAAAATGAGCACAGCATTTTCCCCATTTTTTGTTCATTTTTACCCATCGCGAATGGGTTAAGAAACGATTTCTGCATTATTTCTGTGGGTGGAAAGTAGAATCCGTGAGGCAGGATAAGCACTTTAGGGAGGTCACTAATTTCATGTTCAGGATTATATACCTACCTATCATAATGGCCAGTGCATTATATACAAATTATAACTAAATGACACAAAAACTGTACACTATCTAGGATGATATGGAGTCTGTACAGGGTAACAGTTTATTACCATCTTAATACAGCATATTAAAATGACAAATATTGACCTAGGAAAATGGCAAAAAGGCAAAAATTGCTTATGCAGGAAAAAAAAAATCATAAACTACCATAGGGAAGAAAGGAGTCTTGACCCCACACGTGAGTCTTCGTTTGGGCGAGGCTTATGAGCCATGCACCCAGGAGAGTCATCACTCGAGTAAGCCTAATGCCCAGATTACAGCTAGACCACATGCAGGCAGCAAGGCACCCAGACACAAAGGGTTAATAATCAGCAACCCTATCAAAATTTGTTCATTCATCAATAGCTCTTCCTTTTTCAATAACAAGAAAGTTCATTTTGTACAGCTCAATTGTTGCTGGAAATAGGTCAAATTTTTTTCTTGGCCAAACAGCAGCAGGAAACTTTCTTATTAATATTACACATTCCTGATGTTAAGTTATTACTCCATTTACTCTAGTCTGGTCTGTTTTTTGAAGAAGAGAGATGAAGAAGGGGAAGGAAAATGGAAGAGGAGGAAGAGGAGGGGGACAAAAGATAGATTAAGGAATATCGGGAGAAAAGAAGGAAAGAGGGGGAGGGGGAGCAAGGAGGATAAGAAGAGAAGGAAACAGACATAGGAGGAGGAGGAGGAAGAGAAGGAAGAGGAGGAGGAGGAGGAGGAGGAAGAGGAGGAAGAAGAAGAGGAAGAAGAGGAAGAAGAAGAAGAAGAGGAGGAAGAGGAGATAATGAAAAGGAAGAAAAAAAAAGAGGAAAAAAGGAAGAACAAGAAGAAGAGGAAGAAAATAAACCTATGATATATGTATAGACTTCATCTTTCTTAATAAAAAAAACATAGCAAGGGCCTAACCTGGTGCATGAGAGAACTCATGACCGCCAGTAGAAAGTCTGACATGCATGTGCTAAACAGACTAGGCATTCATATAAGGGCCATGCAGTATCGAGAGGCAATTGCTGTTGCCTCTAATATCAAGAGTTTTTGATTTACAAGCAACTGTTGACTTATCTAGTTTACTTTCTCCTCTCTTTCCTTCCCTTTCTTTAAAATTTGTTTTTCTCTTATTTATTCATTATCTTTTTTATTCTAATAATGATCAAATTCTAAAAACAGAAAATAATCAGAAACCTAAACAATTATAACAAATAAAAGAAAAAGCTCTCCCACAGATAAAATAATAATAATAATAATAATAATAAAAAACATAGAGAAGTACATCCTATCCGAGCAAAATCAAAGCCATGACTCTCGACTGAAAACTCCACACTAATCCACCACATGGCAACTGGCCCCATTACTATTCACACCAGGACTACTGGATGATCATGCTACCAAGAAAGACATGAATACCTATTTTGGATTCCTCCCAGGCAGCATGAACCCTCCACACATCACACCAATAAGTGCAACTCTACCAGGGAGTTATCACAGCAGTGGTCACTTCCTGAGCAACACTTTCTTTATAGACTACCATCTTCACTGTTGCCCGAGTTAACTGAATACAATTAAACAGAGGATTTATTCATCCACAACAAGTCTTGTGCTTATGTTGTTTAGACTAAAACAAGAGCCAATTTTTATGAAGTGAAGAATAAACCGAGCAAGACACAAAGTTTATAGCATAATGTACAATAAAAAAAAAAGAAAGAAAGAGAAGGAAGTAATAATAATAACTGGATGAACAAATAAATAAAAATAAAACATGTGATCCTTGAGCCAACCAAAACTGATCTGACTTGTATGCATGAACACATACTCCAGAAGTTTTCCAAGGACTAAAATATGATTGCTTTTATTATTAGCAACTATAAGGTTCTCTCTCTCTCTCTCTCTCTCTCTCTCTCTCTCTCTCTCTCTCTCTCTCTCTCTCTCTCTCTCTCTCTCTCTCTCTCTCTCTCTCTCTCTCTCTCTCCAGCCTTTCTCTGAACGGAGTTATTCACCTTCTCCTTCTTCCTTTTCCGTCACCCATTCTTACTTCCTTCTTTCCCTTCTTTCTCCCCCTTCCCCTCTCTAACTCTCTCCACGTAAAACTTGCAGGGATATCAAACAAGCCAAACTTTTCCCTTACTTTTCCATTTCACCTTTTCAATAGATACGTAACGTGAACTCACTGTCATCCAAGTTGTGTTCTGTTTGACACAGACACTCGTTACATGTAAAGAAAAAGAGGTCACAGCCGTGCAGTCACTATTAGCCCTACTTGCCTAGGAGGAGGAGGAGGAGGAGGAGGAAGAGGAGGAGGAGGAGGAGAAGGAAGAGAAGGAGGAGGAAGAAGAGGAGGTACTGAAAAGGAAGAAAAAGGAAGAATCAACACTTAAAGGGAATCAATACTTATAGATATAACTAAGCCCCTCCCCCTCCCCCTCCCCCTCCCCCTGGAAGATAAAAACATCTAACTCTAAATAACTTATTGCATCCTTAGTATCTTGGAATTATAAACAAATACACAAATATATAAATACATAAACTGAATACACCCGTACGCAAATTACCTGCACGAAAGTAAAAATGAAATTAGGTTTCCCCCATATCTATTAACTAAATAAACATAATCTCAGAAAAAAAAAAACAAAAAAAACATATATGTGTCCATTTAAAATACACAGGCCAGTGGTCATCGCAATTTCCTTACTCACTGCTATCATCAAAATAAAAATCCCTTTAAAAACTGCATTAAAAAGATCAAACAATTTACTGCGTCATCTTCACTTCACCTCAAGCACATGTAACTGTATTTCTTCTTTTTATACTTAAAAATGTGATGAGTCAATTCATAATAGCTGCCAAAAGCCTCAATTTCTCCAAATGTTTTGAAAGTAAGCATATAAAACTTATGCCAAATGCCGAAAGAAAAGTAAAAGTAACATCATGATAATAACAATTACGAAAATAATAAAAATATATAATAATAATAATAATAATGAATATAATGATAACAGTAACATTAACTATTATCATTATCTTAACCCACTGCCGCCGGGGAAAATGAACAAAAAATGGGGAAAATGCTGTGCCTATGCTGCTAGCGCCTGATATGGAATTGCGGGAAAAATGTATTTTTCACTAGTGCTATGAAAATCGATGGTGTTATTTTTATCATAAAGATTATAATTTTTATAATGTTTTTTAACATTTGTAACAGAAAAATAAGATAACGTTAAATATTTTCGTAAATCAAAGAAAAGGGTGAACGGGCGAGACAGGCGGTACTCGTAACTGGTTCATTGGGGAGTTAGTACAAGTGTTGCCATCTAATCTAACAAGTAATCTCACAATGGGCATGGCATGGCATGCCCGTCGGCAATGGGTTAAATATGATTATCATTATTATTAATATTGTCATCATCACTATCAAGCCTATTATTATTATTATTATTATTATTATTATTATTATTATTATTATTATCATTATTATTATCAGTATCAGTATCATTATCATGATCATGATCATTATCATGATCATGATCATTATCATTATTATTACTATTATTACTACTATTACTATTATTATTATTATAATTATTATTAATATTATTACTGTTATCACATTGAAGATCATGATTACAATAAAAACTAAATACTAATATATATGTGTATATATATATATATATATATATATATATATATATATATATATATATATATATATATATATATATATATATATATGTATATATATATATATATATATATATATATATATATATATATATATATATATATATATATATGTATGTATATATATATAT